AAATGAGTGACTTAGTATAAACATTACCTAGCTTGTAATTTACCTATAGAGCAGAGGATTTTGACTTAACCATTCACATATCTTCCATTCCTTAATCAGCAACTAACATGTATATGTTGAAAAAATTTAAAAAATATTGGGGGGAATCATTATGATGAGATGGGGTCTGAAGATCTCTCTAGTCTATTAAAGAAGGAAAGCAGGAAAGAGTTAATTGCTTAAATCCACCAGTGCTGCTTCTGATAGAGACTGCAGAAGCCATCTGTTTCACTGATCATTATTTTTAGTTTTATAATAAAAAAATGTTGAAGTAAATCAAATGAATACTTGCATTTAAATCTACTGACTAGTTAATAATTTGTTTGCTATTACAGTGATACAGAGGTGCTCGATTGTATTTTTAAAAGACTACATGGCAAACAGTAGGAAGATCTTGCATACCTACCCCATACTTCACTGTCTCTAAGAAGGTTCTAATAGAGGGAGAATTTAAGACTGTCAAGGAGGAAATATCACATGAGTAGGGAAGGGAATTCTCATAGAGAAACAGAATCTACACAAACAATGAGATGATGTCCTGAGCATCAGATAATTTAGCTTGATCACAGTATTGCCAAATGGCTACTGATATTGTAGGCAAAAGCAAAGTATATGTGTATAGATAGATAGATAGATAGATAGATAGATAGATAGATAGATAGATAGATAGATAGATAGATAGATGATAGATAGATAGACAGATAAATAGATGACAGATAGATAGACCGATAGACAGATAGACAGATACACATATACCTTTTGTTTTCTTTTTAACTCTGTGTGTACCCCTGTGTGCAGGCATGTGTATGTGAGTACAGGTGTCCAAACCACTGGCAGCTGTGAGTTCTCAGATTTGCATGCTTGGGAATCAACCTTAGGCTCTCACCAAGCCAGTTCTCCAGCCTTGAACTCACATAGATCCTACGCTCTCTGCCTCCTGAAGGTTGGATTAGATGTGTGGGCAGAATGCCTGGCTTTAATGTATGTGGAGTGGCTGGTTAGTTGGCTGGTTGGTTGGAACAGGGTTTCTTGTAATCCAGGCTAACCTCAAACTCACTGCTAAAGATAGCCTTGAACTCTTGCTTCCATTTGCTGCTAAAAGCTGGGATTTTAGGTATGATCACCATGCTTAGTTTAAACTGTTTTCAGCACATTAAAAAATATGTTACCCTAATGTATGTGATTCTAGACATCATATAGCCCATCTTGTTCATGTGCAACAAAAGATAAGCAGATTTTTTTAAAAAAAATCCTTATCAGAGTCTAAAAAGATTCAACAATTTTAAAATATTTTTACATCATTCCTCTATAAATTTTAAGATGAGAGCCTATTTTGCTTTGCAGAAAAGAAGGCACATTTTAGTGACAAAATTAACTATTTCATGATGTGATGAATTTAAAAGAGAAGATTGCTGAAGTAGGCCTTGATGCCTGACCTCAGATGATACGGACTCAAGTGAGTCTATGATGATCAGAAAGACCCAAAGTGACTGGGTTAAAATAACACCTGAGTGATTCATTTTTACTGATATTTCTAGCATGATATTGTTACTACAAAGTAATGAAAACCAGTTGGAAACAAAGTTTTTAAAGCATGTCACAAGAGTTAATTATGTCCTATGTAGACATCTTTCTGCTAGGTAGTGATTTTTCCATACTTCAAAAGACTGTATTTCAAACCCTCTCTGTTTTTCCTGTATTTCTGTGTATGCTTTTGCTTTCCTGCCAAATTGTTAATTCTTTATTTCTGCCCTGCCTCCAACAGTTTCCAGTTTTCAGCTTTTTTTTTATAGTTTATAGTTTTTTTTCCCTGTAATTAGTAACAGTACCAAATTCAATGTCTTATTGCACTAAGTTGTTGGATTCTATTTCAGTGCCTATTTCTCCTATTATGTGTTTCTATTTTCAAGCTGCATGATAGAAAACATTTCCTTTAGGCTGAAGCTTGGGAGACCTAATCTTGACATAATTTTTTTTTCAAAGAAACTAAAATAAGTCTGCTCCATACTTCATGTGGAAGGAGCATTCTCCCCCGGCTTTTGCCAGCATTTACTGTGACATATGCTTGATTCAAGAATTCCTGACCAAAATAATAATAATAATAATAATAATAATAATAATAATAATAATAAATTAAATGATTTACCAGTAACATAGAATAGTGTGAGAGGTTGTTACAATGCTCATTTTATAGGCATTTATCAATTTCACTGTCAAAATAAATTCAACACAATTCTTCTCTATTCCCATACTTTAATATAACCAATTTATTTACATGACACGGAAGTTTCAAGGAGGTTAAGAATAAAATTCCCATGATTTGTGGAAGTGAAAAAAAAACTATCCAGTGTGTACCTAGACATACCTTATCCACTTCCTGTGTTGTGTTAACTGATGTCCAAAGCTGTAAGGTAAAGGAAGCCAATGGCAAAATAATGCCAGTAAAAAGGATGGCTAGTCAGTGCTTTGGGCCCTTACAAAGATTTTAATTGGTGCCAGACCCTATGCCAAATGTTTTATGAAACAGCAAATAAGAAAGATGAGCCAATTCCAAAGTAACCATCAGCCAGGAACACAAATAGAAAATGCAAATAGTGTTCAAAGGCAAAGGGAAGAATACAAGCAGCAGTATTCAAAATTAAGGATTTCAGTCAAAACTTGTGTAGAAATTTTACAATTGTTTAAATTCTACTTGGAAATAGTTCAACAGTTGGTATCTTTCTCTCCTAAAATCTGAAGTTAGTAGTTTCAAAATGATGTAAATTACACACTGTCACAGTCAAGTATTATTTCACTGGCTTATGGGACATTCCCTGCCTCCCTGAAGTAAACTGCAGATTCTAACAATGGAACTCATGGCTTTTTAGAATTATGTTGCTGGTAATTCAAAGACTTAAATGTATTCACCTGGAAAGACAGTCTGTCGTATGAGATAAGATCAGCTATAAACCACTATAGACATGAGCAAAATTAATGGTCTCAGCAGGCTGTGTGTGTGTGTGTGTGTGTGTGTGTGTGTG